CAATTTTTTCGAAACCTTCCAAGAAGTTAATGTAATGATAAAAAAAAAGTCATTCCCAAAAGTCATAAGTCATACTTTTTTTGGAAGCTTGTATGACTGTTAATGTTCTACCTCTTCAGCTTTAGATTTTAAAATTTTTCAAAAAAAATAATTTGTTTTTCCTTAATTTAATGCTTAATGGAGTCAAAGTGTCTAATTTTCTTAGATGCTGCTGCATCATTCTCATAATCAAATGTAAACAACATAAATACTTGGTCACTGTTTCAATAACTGCTAGATTAAAACACACAAATGACTTCAAATACATCTGTAAGAGTTGCCTCCCATACCCATACCCAAGTTTACCCCCTTGAATACAATAGTTTTGACTAATTCCGCGCTTCATAGAAATGTGTGCAGAACGTTTTTGTAAAACAAAATATGTTGTAGTTATTGAAAATCTTCGATCAATGTTATACATATTAGGGATATTTGCTTAGCAATAAATCAGTCTCTTATAGATATTTTTATGGCCCCATTTTCCATGTTATAACAGGAGACCTTAACATCGTTCGCGACCGAGAGTTAAAATCATTCCTCAGTAAAGGACCTAAATATCGTCCCCCGTCAATTATTAATTGGAATGAGTGTCGTAATATCATCCACGACTCACTTCGTGCTTACTGTTTGAAATGGATAAAACGGTAAAAAGCTGACAAAAAATCTTTGGACTCTTTTTTAATTCAGTAATGAAGATAGTTGATATACGTTTACAACATTTTAAAGAACATTTTACTCTTAACAACAACCATAAAAATCCTATTTCTCGTATCAAACATAAACTAAAAGAACTAGTCAAGGAATTTGTTTTTGTCCTGGCTGATAAAGCTGCTAATAATATCATTATAGTTTGAGGTAAATTTTACATTGAGGCTCTGCAAAAGGAAATCACGAATTCACCAACATTCCGGCATAACTGACTTCATTTTCAGAAAACGATATCTGTAACAAACATAAACTATTAGCTACTTCTTTACAAGCAGAACCAAATACAATGAAAGTCCCAACTATGTACTGGCTTCCGAAGCTACACAAATCACCTTACAAATATAGATTTATTTCGTCTTCAAGTCATTGTTCCACTACTAAATTGTCTATTCTACTTACTAGTACACTTGGTACAATCAAAAACCTGATAATAAATTGTTCAAATAAGGCCTTTGAAAATAGTAGAATTAACTACTTTTGGAGTGTCAAAAACTCGTTGGAAGTACTTGATAAATTGCATGCATATATTGGTGATTTTGAATCTGTTCAAAGTTTTGATTTTTCTACCCTATATACCACTTTGCCTCATATTCTTATTAAGAAAAAATTCACACACCTAATTAAATGGGCATTTAAAAAGTCGGAATGCGAATACATATGTTCAAACTCTTTTAGGTCATTTTTTAGTAGCAACAAACAAAAGAGCTATGTCAATTGGACATGCTTTGATACTATATCTGCCCTTGAATTTTTACTTGATAACATTTTTGTTCGCTTTGGAGATTCCGTATATCGTCTAGTTATCGGAATTCCAATGGGGACTAACTGTGCACCACCTATTGCGGACCTGTTTTTGTATTGTTATGAGTTACAATTTTTGACTAAAATCAGCAAAGACCCATCGAAACAACATCTGATACAAAAATTTAACAATACTTTTAGATATTTGGATGATATATTGGCTCTCAATAATGACGACTTCAGTATGTATACTAAAGAAATTTATCCTGTTGAACTTACTCTAAATAAAGCTAATACTAACAATGACCACTGTCCTTTCCTCGATCTTGATATCTATATCGTTAATGGGAAGCTTAATACAAAAGTTTTTGATAAAAGAGATGATTTTTCATTTCCTATCGTTAATTATCCATTTTTAGATGGTGACGTTCCCTTGTCACCATCTTATGGTGTTTATATATCTCAACTTGTACGATTCGCTCGTGTATGTAACAACGTATTAGATTTTAGCGAGTGAAATTTATGTATTACTGAAAAATTATTACACCAGTGTTTTCGATATCATAAACTAGTCAAAACATTTACTAAATTTTATCATCGGTATAAGGACATCATTCGTAAATATAACTCAACATGCAGACATCTTATACGTTCAGGTATTTCACATCCAATCATTTATGGTAATATTCTTTACAAAGCACAAAAATGTCAGTATTCACCTCAAAAGCTTACAAAACCTTTAAACAGACTTATTAAGAAGGGATATAGTTACGATACTGTTGTCAGGTCATTAAAGATTGCATATTTTGGCTTTAATATTGATTCACTTATAGGGTCTTTGCATCGGAATTAAACATATTTATTCTAAAACCAGTTGTTGGCATGACACGGTTTATGTTCTTCTCATATATTTTATGATGGTATAATACTAAACCCCTAACAGGAGGGATTGTGCCTGATATTCATATGATGAAGACATAATCTTTCAATCAGTTTAATTGAGGTCTGGAGCTGGCATGTCAGTAACTGCTAGTAGTCTGCTGTTATTTATGTATTATTGTCATTTTCTTTATTTTCTTTTGTTTCCTATTCTGACGTCGGACTCGGACTTCTCTTGGACTGAGTTTTGCTGTGCGTGCTGTTGTACGTTTGTTTTTTCTACATTGGCTGGAGGTATAGGGGGAGGGTTGAGGTCTCAAAAAAAATGTTTTACCCCGCCGCGTTTTTGCGCCTGTCCCAAGTCGGGGGCCTCTGGCCTTTGTTAGTCTTGTATCATTTTTAATTTTAGTTTCTTGTGTATAATTTGGAGTTTAGTATGACGTCCATTATCATTGCACTAGTATACATATTTGTTTAGTGGCAAGCTGAAGGACGGGAGTTTCTCGCTGCATTGAAGACCCATTGGTGGCCTTCGGCTGTTGTCTGCTCTATGGTCGGGTAGTTTTCTCTTTGACACATTCCTCATTTCCATTCTCAATTTTATTAACAAATGTAGACAAAATGTAAATCTGTAAGAATTGAGACGGTTCTTATGTAAAATCATCGCTTTACGAACATTAGAAACTAAATGATGTATACTTTCACTCCAACATTCTGCCAGACAAAAAATGAGGCTCTTATGTTGTTGATTAAGGTCTGTAATATTTGTTTTTCGTAAATTGTTTTGTTATAAAATAGGCCATTAGTTATTTCGTTTGAATTGTTTCACTTTTTCCAATACGTCAATTTTCTTTTTCGCCATCCGTTTTGCCAAAACAATATTTTTCCGCAACTTTTATTTTACTTTCGTCAACTTATTTAAATCTTTACAAACAAACTAAATATCAATTTGCAGGACCGTCGTCTCATATCCATATGCGTGAAATATTGAGTCCAAGTGTACATAAATCCCACATGTCTATTTAGTAAACAACATCTTGATAAATGAACACTGAATTATAACTTTATTTTTTATTTACATTTATGAATTCTCTAAAATTACATTACAAAGGCAATAACACATTCCTTCTGTCTCCGTTTTGTGGTTTTCGGAGTGAGACAACTAAATATAATTATATTAGTATAAAACAAAATAGCGCGTTCAATCCATTTATCGAATAAATTCTGTTCTGTTGAAAGGCGTCGATAAAATCAAAGATATTTCATAATTTTGTAGATGTTTAAAACATAATCTTTTCCGGTTCATCGTTAAAAGTTAAATCGTAAATCTATGTTTATAACAGAAGGGCATAATGATTGCAAAGTGCAAACTTCAAAACTATTATTATGATATAAGGCGTATAAACAACTCAATTTAAGTGACATATTAGGTAAATTCAGGTAAAGGCATTTGGCCACACAATTATATTAAAAGAGAGGCGAAAGATTCCAGAGGGACATTCAAACTCATAAGTCGAAAATAAACTGACAACACCATGGCTAAAACAGAAAAAAAGACCAACAGACAAACAATAGTACACAAAACACAACATAGAAAACTAAAGACTGAGAAACACTAACCCCACCAAACATTAGGAACATATCAGCTATCATCTGTGAAACGGATATTCCATAACGGTCACCCAACTCCTTATGGCGTCCGTCAAACTTACGAAGGGATGATTTCAACTTCACCACTTGGACTCTTGGTTTAATAGCTTCCTTGTGAGCAGCAACCCTCTATCAAGAAAATCATGATAGGAAATACAAGCCCTAGAATATCGTATCAACTGGGAGATATATACTCCGTATGCAGGCTACATAAAATGGAAAGTTCACAATTAAACAGTAAGATTAGAAAAATCTTTTATTCATTAGTTTATTGCCGCTATCTATCAAATGCTTGTACCTTTTCAAATAAAAAATCTATATGACGAGTTGCGTGCTAAAAATCCGACTCAAAAGAAAAATTCAGAGATCCCAAAATAAAATACAAGACAGACGATGTTAAACCGCTACAATTCTTTCGCAAAAATTCACCAATTATTATTTGTTTTCACCGCAATTTTCAAAATGCAAAAAATCGCAAAAATTCCGACTTTCGGGGGAATCCCTGTTCATGTCGGGGCCTTTGTAGCCGACCATACGGTATGGATTTTTCCAATTGAAGAAGGCTGTACACTGGCCTAAAATTGCTTACATCTATTTAAACTCTGGTGCATAGCTGTGTCATTGGCAATCATACCACATATCCTTATTTTGATATTAATGGGCGAAATTTGGTAAGTAAACAGGAGAAATAGAGAAGTCGGCGAATAAGAGATTATAAGAGGATAAAAAGGAAATCGACGACTAAGACGACCCTTCAAAGAACTTGTCTGTTCATAGTGTAAAAAAGGAGGCAAAGGATACCAAAGGGACATTCAAACTCATAGGACGAAACTGAAAACGCCATGGCTAAAAATGAAGTAAAAAAAGTTTATATATGTCTTTTTTTATATTACTAATCTAGTTTAACTTAATTTCATCTCTAAAATATTAAATTTAAGTTATGTTACTATTGCCAATATAACCTTTTCATGATATTTTCACAGTGGACCTTAACCAAGAGCAAATGCATGTAGATATCAAAAGAATTTTACCAACAGAAATAACGTTCGACGCAAAAATAAGCAACGAAAAGGTAGTTGGGGAAATCTGGAAAGGTACTTAAAATCTTAGATTGATATAACTATTGATAATCACAAATTAAGAATTAAGAAAAATAAAGACAAATAAAATCTACTTATTTCAGATCAACAGTATAAACATCATGCTTTCTAAAGAATTAATTGAGTTCCCCGAAATTCTTTAATTTTGTTTAGATATCAGCACTCTTATAGAAAATTAGAATAGCTTTAAGAAAAACACATCATATAAAACGCTTTTATGAAATCGAAATGTAAGCAAAAGGTGCGATATTTATATCCCTAAAGTTTTATAGCTGCATATTCACTCCATACGTCTTGTTATTTGAGTTCAAAACTAGTATATACATCTGTTCTAAAGTTGTATATTTCGGCTCTTCTGCTCCAAACTAAAATAAACTTGCATATATGTAGTTGGCTAAAAGAATTCAAAAATGTCTTAGTTTCCCGATATTCATATATTGCATGCAACTTTTTTGTTTTTTGTTGTTTGTTTTAAGTAAAACATATTCTGATATATACATTGAAGTCCAAATTTAGATACGTTATGAAATGAAAAACAATAATGCTTTGTAAATTAATTTAAAGATAGATTTTCTCTGAAGCTTGACAGCCTTTTCTTAAATTTGTCTGGTTAATATATACCCCGGAATAGTTTATCTAAGTTGTATATTACAAATTTTTTCAAGATTTTTGGCCCTCAATGTTCTTCAACTTTGTACTTTATTTGGCTTTTTTTCACTCTTTTGATTTGAGCATCGCTGGTAGGTCTTTGGTAGACGAAACGCACGTCTGAGCTGGCGTGTAGAATTGTTTGCTGTTTTAGATAAATATATAGATCCTGTAATTATACTGAAAAGACGTGTATTGTGTTAGATGTCCTTGTTTAATTCCTACGAGAAGGTAACACCTCCCGAAATGACAGCTGATTCCTATGTACTTAATGTACTTCAACTGTCGAATGGATTTCTTTAAGCAGTTTTTAGACTCAAATAAAATTTGCAAAAATGGAACAATTGAGCGCAACATTCACAAATTCATTTCCTGCTCCACACTTGAAAAGATATTTTACTGAGTTTAAATAAAACAAACTATGACTATATTGAACAAAGAAATGGTAGATGCGCTTTTGCATCATTATGCATCTATGATATTTTTACAGAAACAATGGTCTTGTTTTAGGATCAGTTGCTTGATACATTAAATTGTCATTGCAGTCAAGTGTTTGGTTATAAGGAATTGTAATTCGGCTGAGGAGAAAACTAAACTAGAGGCTGTACAGAGTCTGTGTCGCTTACCTTGGTCTATGTGCATATTCAACAAAGGACACTCTCCAACATTGTAGACAAAAATAGAATTCATGACAAAAATCTGTTTTGTTGATCTTGTATTGCTGATCAATTAGCCTGTTTAGTTTCTCTCTATCTTCTTTAGTTTTTGCTCAAAACACAAAAGAGGTTAAAAAAAATCCTCATTTAAGGGCAATCACTCCTATAAAGAGTCACAGTCTACTTAACAATATCGGCAAAATTTGACTTGTTAGTAGATCTTGACTTGCTGATCATTTTTGTAATTTTAAAGTGTATCTTTATCTATTATAATTTTCTATCATATATGACAAACGCAAAAAAAGGTGAAAATCGTCTTTAAAGGGCAATAACTCTAATAAGGAGTCGTCTGACCATTTCCTCCATATTGTCTTCATTGTAGATTTTGTTTTGCTGATCATTTTTGCCTAGATTAGTTTCTATCTGTCTATTATAGTTTTAAGATATAAGACAAAAACGCAAAAAAATGGTCAAAATTATCATCAAAGGGCAATAACTCTAATAAGGAGTCGATTGTGATTTCGACAATGTTGACCTATTTGTAGAACTTGTTTTGCTGATCATCTTAAAGTTTCTCTGTATCTATTATAGTTTTCAAGATAGTAGACAAAAATTTTAAAAAATGGTAAAATTTGTCATTTAAGGGCAATTAATCCTATAAGAAGTTATCTGACAGTTTTGACATGTATGAACAATTGGTAGAGTTCAACATCCTGAACATATTTACTCTTGTCAGATTTTCTATCTTTATAATGGTTTTCAAAATAAAATAGAAAAAACTTGCATTTTACCCCATATGTTCTATTTTTAGCCATGTTGGCCATCTTGGTTAGCATGCGAGATTATCAGACATATTTTTTAAACTAGATACCCCAATTATGATTGTTGCCAAGTGTGATAAAATTTGGCAAAGTAGTTTCAGAGGAGAAGAATTTTGTAAAAGATTACAAAATTTACGAAAAATTGTTAAAAATTTACTATAAAGGGCAATAACTCATTAAGGGGTCAATTGACAATTTTGGTCATGTTGACTTATTTGTAGATCTTAGTTTGTTGAACATTATTGCTGTTACAGTTTATTTCTATCTATAATAATATTCAAGATAATAACCAAAAACTGCAAAATTTCCTTAAAATTACTAATTCAAGGACAGCAACCCAACAACGGGTTGTCTGATTCGTCTGAAAATTTCAGGGCAGATAGATCTAAACCTGATGAACATTTTTACCCTGTCAGATATGCTCTAAATGCTTTGGTTTTTAGAGATATAAGCCAAAAAAACTGTATTTTACCCATATGTTCTATTTTTAGCCATGGCGGCCATGTTGGTTGGTAGGAGGGGTCGTCGGACACATTATATAACTAGATACCCCAATAATGATTGTGGCCAAGTTTGGGTAAATTTGGCCCAGTAGTTTCAGAGGAGAAGATTTTTTAAAAAGTTAACGGACGACGACGACGTACGACGACGGACGACGACGGACGCCAAGTGGTGAGAAAAGCACACTTGGCCCATTGGGCCAGGTGAGTTAAAAATGAACTGGCGTATGGATATATAAAACTATCTTTGTATACGCTTACTTATAAAATGGAGGTGCAAGTAATAAGATTTTGAATGACTTTAACTTATGTTTCATTTTTATTTCTTCCACATCATTGGCTAATCAAACAGTCTAATTTTCTAAGACTTTCTTGTCCAACTATTGGGGATTTCTTTTGGAATGCAAAAAAAATCTATCTTTGTCTCACGGTACAGTGCAGTTCCAATGAAACCAACCATTTTAATACAACAATAGAGTACATCACGCCTGTTTCTTGCTGTATAAAGATTTAATAGTTATCTCGATTCATAATATTTATTTTTTCAGTGGTTCAGTTCTGCAACAACATTGAAATAAAATGTAGGGAGGAAAGTCCCATCAAATATAATTTTTGTCAAAAGAAATAATACAATTTGCTAATACCTATGTTCTTTTTTAATGTATCAAAAGTCTGTGGTATATGTAACCCTGGTAAAGTAACTTTGAGTTATTGCAATGTCTGAGTGCATTAACGACAGCTTAGATAGAGCATACTGGAGCAAACCGTACCAAGTTGATGACTTCTTGATAGTTCATTACCTTTACGTAAACCAAGTTTTTATTAGAAAAGTCATTACAACCTTGTACTAAAGGATGGACACATCAAGAAAGCAAGATTCAAACAAATTGCCTTAGCAATATTGTATCACCAAGACCTGCAAAAAAGACGAAACAATGTTTTAATATGTACACTGTAGATAAATGGGATTTACATTAGTATTGTTTAAGTATAGGATCTCAGTTGCTAGATGATTTATATATAATAAAAATGGAGATGTGGTATGTTTGCCTATGAGAATAAAGGAAACTTCATGAGATTTAAATTAAAAAAACTGTGTGAATAACTTTATTTTATTTCTTATATAAATATTTTTATAAATATTTATCTGTGATACTGTTAAAGTGTTTTTAGACTCTAGGCGATATACAACTTTACATATTATAAAGATCTTTATAAACATAAAAAGATGTGGTATGATTGCCAATAAGACAATAGTAATTTACCATAGACCAAACGAAGTGGAAATAAGAATATATCAGTCAACTTACGGCATTCAACAATGAAAGAATAAACTTTATAGAGTAAAATAAGCTATATTAAGCCCCTTCATGAACAAATGTAAAACAATGAAAACTACAAACCAATGACCCGACATATGATAACACAATGACAGAAAAGACATCCAACGACTACAACCTGCAATGTATAACAGGCCCCTAAGTAAAAAAAAGCACATTCATGGTATGACGGTATTAAAGGTGTTTGCAAGCGTTCAAATCTCACTCTGATCTGGGACAGTGGTGAAATAATGATCAAGTAAGGAGAAAGGGATTCTCTTTGGGGCACAAAAAAGAAGAAACATATTATTAATAACACAGTTTTTTGTACCTCCGTACAAAATTTTAAGCATTTTTAAAAAATGTCCAAATTATTTCTGTTCGTCTGTAGTTTTTGTGATAAACTCTCTTTCAACGGGTAACGTATTCATCTCTTAAACGTTTAATTTTGCAGTATAACAATTATCACGAGTACAGTATTTGTAAAAAATTTATAAGAATAAAAATGGTCATAATGATAATGAAAAACCTATTTACCAATTTTAAGAGAAGCTTTTTATTAAGCCAAATTTTTATGACAATTTTAATATTTGCTTTAACTTCTTGCAATAAGAGTACAGGGTTTAGTGACAAAAGTTTCTACAATAAGGAAACAAGTTAGATAGACCGATTAAAAAAATGAAAATGAAAATAACAAGTTTCTCCATATCATATTAGTCCTGATGCTGTTAACCTCCTTGTAGTGGCCAATGGTAATTACCGAAACACAACTTATTTATTTGCACTTATTATGTCTTTTTAGACTAATTTAATTTTTTCAACTTTGTTTAATTGGTAATGAGCACCTTTGACTCGCTGTAAATTAGTCTCGGTTGCTTTTGATGAAGCGAATGTAGTCGAAAATCACATCTGCGGTACAAAATGATAAACATGGTATCTTTGAGAGTTTTTTACAACAACTTGGACAATATTTCTGCTGATGGACGTTTGTCTACAGATGATATCATCAACCTGGCCGTCAACACTTATGATCCATATAGTCATTTTCTATAAGTTTACTGTACTGTTCCACATACCTTCAAATCACAATTACGGGCTTGGAATATCTTTGAATCGTACTAACTTTATATTGTTCATTCGTTGTACACAAGTCATGTTTCACATAAGTTATCTCAATACTTATTTAGCTTAATTAAGTTTTCGACTTTTAATACGTTTAGGGCATAGGTCATTTTTTTGCTGAAAATGTCTTCTTAAATTTCTATTGTCTCATCTTTAGATGTAAAGCAAAACTATCTATTTTTTATATGATATTCTAGTTCTTACCCTTAAATTTTCATCAATTTCGTATCTACCACTTTCCTTAATTTTGAACAATAATTATAAGCAATCTTTTTCACTTTTTTTGTTTCTTTTTTTTTTTTTTTTTTTTTTTTATTCAACAATCCATTGCTTTATCAAATATAAAAATAAGATGATGTGGTATGAAAACCAATGTAACAACTGTCCACAAGAGACCAAATGACAAATGAGTTAGCAATAGTAGGTCACCGTACGGTTTTTGTCACGGTGACTTGAAGAGAACTTCTAGTTTTATAAAAGTTCACATGAATACTGATCATCTCAACAATCTTTGTACTGTCGCCTTTTAGATTTAAAAAAGTTCTTTTTTGTTTTGAAAGCGTCTTTTAAGTGCACAATTACTCCCTGTCTATCTTATGTGGATAACAATGTTTGTACGGTAGGATAGGCCTTGAATGTTTTGTCAGGGATTTTAATGGTTTATAACTATATAACCATTGTTCTTTCATATGATACAAAATTAAATAAAATTCAAATCGACTGTTTCCTATAACTAGGAAATTGTAAAACAAAATGTTAAAAGATATCTAAATGAAAATTCATTGAATTCCAAACATAATGAATCTAATTGCGTTAAAGTCAACATTACTACAAATGAAGAGCTACATGTACAATTGAAAGCGTCTTCTAATCTAACAAGTAGCTAGGCGGTCATGCTTATTCCATTCTTGCACGTAGCGGGATATTTACTTCACATCTACATAACGATTCTTGAAAATATTCTGTTCTGATTGATAGTTAATTAAATATTATTTGTTATTTTGCATTGTAGCAAATGCAATGGTTCTAAACAAACATGTCTGTAGGATTGTTTCCATTGGCACATGCCGGCATCTTGTGAAGGAAGGCGATGATAATGTCAGTGAACATGCAAATTGGACGTGGAACCAATCTTTATCATGATTATGTATTTTTTTTATTCAGTTTTGTGTTTAAATACATTTATGAAAATTAATAATATATGTGGCATTAAAATAGAAAATTGTTGTAGTTTGAATTCAATACAAAAACATTTTCTTTTAAGGAGAGTGGATTTTGAAAACCCGAAAACCTGTTTGTATCAAACGTTTCCAACAAGGATCATACCAAGATTTCATAAGAGAAGCTTCGATCATGAAGTTATGCAACCATGACAAAGTAATCAAGCTATACGGAGTAACAACTACTGTTGACTGGATAGTAATGGAAGTGTATTACAACTGGAACCTTTTGGAATATATGAAGATATATCAAGAGAATGAGATAAATTTTAACCAGATGATTTACATAGCTGCACAGGTAAACTTACAGTAAAATGAAAACGTAAAGAGGACGTACTTGTTTTGACGTTATCGATTCAGAAATCGGTATTCGTTTCTTTATTTATTTAAATACGTGATATATTTACAACATTTTGGACAGTTCCATTGTATTTTAGGTGAAAATAATAGTATCAGTCAATGAGTAAATTTACAAATCTATCTATATCAGTAATGTATCCGTACTTATATTTCCTTTAAGGCACATATTATACATTATATCCGAATTGAGAAGATAAAAAATGTCATTTGGTAATATACAAACTCTCTATGGTCATCGGCACAGAAGGTTGAGCAAAGAATCGAAAATTTGCAATCAATCACTGTCAACTGGCACTTAATACTCCAATCTATAAATGAATAGAAATATTATTATTATTCCATTTAGCTTCTTTCTTCTTATGACACCCAAATATATTTTATAATGTAATAATTATATTATTGATAATTATAGCATTAATAATGATAACAATTTAGTTATTTTATTACAGTAAACAGAGTTTATCAATTGTCCCTGGTGTTCCCATTTGCAATTACAACACAAAAAATGTGTAAAACTTTTCAAATGTCAATGTGATAGTAGTAATAAAAAATAGACATATTAATTTAAACAATTTTACGATTGTGTCAAGCATTTTACTACTATTTTAGTAAAAAAATAAACGTTGCTTGCACTTTACCTAATTTCTAGGGTAAAACATTTCATAATTCTTATAAAAAAATATCCAAAAAGTTCTCAATTCTAAATGGGTACTAGTTTCAGAATATACCTGAACATTCCAATATGATGTAATACCGATGCTCATTGAAGATTCTGTAGCTTTATTCATTATTCAGCTGTAAACAAAAGTAGTCCAGCATTACAATATCAAGTGACGTGTTACGTGTACACAAAATCAATGCGTGATAATCAAATAGCTAAACAATGTCAATTAGATATTAATTAAAGTTAACATCATTAAGTATAAACAGGTATATAATATTAACAATTGTACATGTAATACGTGATCCAGAACTGATATATAAAAAAATCTTTATTTGAAGGAAGGTACATCTAAATAAAGGCAACAGTAGTATACCGGTGTTCAAACGTCATAAATCGATTGCGAGAAAACAAATCCGGGTTACAAACTAAAACCGAGGGAAACACATCAACTATAAGAGGAAAACAAAGGAACAACAGGAACACTGAAGTGCAACAAAAACAAACGCCAACATACATAGAAACGAACTATTTGATAACAACTTCCGTATTCCTGACTTGGTACAGGACATTTTAAGAAAAAATGGTGGGTTGAACCTGGTTTAATGGCTAGCCAAACCTCCCGCTTTATGACAATGTTAAAAAATATCGCTAAAATGACAACACTACGTGACAGAAATACAGCACAAACACACGCAAGAACATTCATCACAGAGAAACGCACAAACAAATAATGTAAAAGTCAACACAACATGCAAACCGCAGAGCAACAACGAACATATTCCATCAACGACAGACACCACAGGATATCAGAAACAGTAACGCGCTCACGTAACTAACATGCAATCTCGAACTTTATACAATTATTTTCACAATACTCGTCCAAACAATTTTCATGACAATGATGGTATTGAAAGGCAATATTATAATTATTTGGACTACAAACGATAAGACATAAGACATTATCCAACCGAAACCATAACAGAAACATCAAATTAAATACATGAATGTTGGATGTACAAAATACCGAGACACGTCGTATAGCAATGCAAATTCACAATCAGTATAACAGCCATATTCGGGAATATGACAATGATGGTATTGAAAGGCAATTTTATAATTATTTGGACAACAAACGATAAACATAACACATTATTCAACAGAAACATTAAAAATAAATATATGAATGTTGGGTGTGCAAAATACCGAGACACGTCGTATAACAATGCTAATTCACACTCGGTATAACAGTCATATTCGGGAATAGGTCACGTTCGATACTTAGCAGACAGACGACATAGATGTTAAACCACAATCTAAGACGTGGTAAAAATGTCATTAGTTAGTTTAGACACAGACACATCGTATAGATCAACCAATCCGTGATGGTGTCCATAAAATTTACGGAGTGTCATTTTTAATCTTTCCTCCTCATAACTCTGTTGGAGCAGTTTCTGCGTAAGGAGCACACTCCTGTATATGAAGTCAGTATAGTGTGAACATGCACGAGCATAACGTATCAATTGAGATATGTAAACACCATACGACGGAGCAGGGGGTATGTTACTGCTGAGAAATGGGAAATTGATAATTGGGAAGTTGAAATCATCCCGTTTGTCATAGATTTTAGTGTGAAGTCGCCCTTCTGTGTCAATATTGAGGAAAAGATCAAGGTATGAAGCAGTTCTTCTTGTATCAGTAGTATCATAAATTTCAAGTTCACTGGGATATATGAGATGCAAGTACTGACTGAAATATGGGTTATTCAGTGATAGGACATTATCAATATATCTGAAAGTAAAATTAAAGAATTTTGCAAGGTGCTTTTTCTTTTTGTTTTTTAGAAGGTTCTGAATGAATTCTGCTTCTAAGTCGCAAATAAGCATACACTTGGTCAATTTGATTTCTCTAGCTAGATTAATATTTGTTACGGGGAATTTCTAACTTTAGATTAATACCTGTTGATTAAGGAGTCTGATTGATGATTTCAGCTTTGTTTCAGAAAATCACCATTTTATCTTATAAGTATTGATGAATATTTAAATCATAAATTTAAAAACACTTACCGTAACCTTGGCAATATTTTTGCGTTTGAATATCAAGCATACTCTGAGTATAATGCCCAAATTTACCCAAGGGAATTTACTTAAATAATTCTAATATAAACAGCAATAACTGTCCTTTTCTAGATTTATATATTTCAGTTTCACACGGAGAGTTATATCGCAACAATTACGACAAGAGGGACGATTTTTTCGTTCTCTATTGTAAAGTTTTCTTTTAAGACTGTGATAGGACTTGACCCCATCTTACTTTGTTTATATTTCCCAACTTGTTCGCTATGCCCATGTATGCAGTGACGGTTTAGATTTCGCTATATCTATGTATGACTGGTAAATGAATAAGTCAGGGTTTTTAACTTCTTGCGCTTCCGCTAAATGTTTCTAAAAACCAATGTAAATTGGCATGTTTTCATTGACTTTTGTGGAATATTGAAATTGAAACTAATTGTGACATCACATACGTTCTATCTAGTCATGATTTGTACTATAATTCAATGTGAGAAAATTCATTAAATACTTCCTTGAAATTTTAGCTTGAAATAAAATATGGCACATTTTTGGGCATTATCGAACCTACTATTTAGTAAATTTCTTGGGAAAATATCGATTTTTTATTTAAGATATTTATCTTGTTTGCTTTTGGTGGTGTTTAAGTTATCTATGTATAGTATTTGTTTCCGGGTTGATTTTGTTCGATGGGCGTTACCATGCATCTGTTTTTGTCCAAAGGAAATTTATTTTAATGTCATGAAAAGTAATCTATGAGGGGGAATATTTCAAAGTTAAAAAATCGATGTCAAAATAAAAAACAAAAATTATTCATAAAAAATCAGTAGAGCTCGTGCCTCACCCTCTATTGCTTTACATAGAGTTCTTCAAGCACAAAATTGAACCATGTTTTTTGCATTCATGAAGAATGACAAATTTCTTTGTTATCTTAAAAATTATATACTAGGGTTGGAAATCAGCATTCTTAAACTGCCTGTTATATTGATAATTTACACGTATCCACTTTTATATGCATAGAATAAAATTGTTAACCGTCGTTGTGGTACCTCATCATATTTGGAAATCACAAGTGGACCTCATTATGGATTGATAAGCTCATTCAATTTGGTGATTTTTTAAGAGTTGTTGCCATTTTTAATCTATAAAAATATTAGGACTATAAAGTTAATTTTCAATTTGAGCAATAGAATTGTGTAGTGTTGATTATAGTTGTGTTGTCATTAACTGAGATTGACATTTTTCTTAGCATATTAACTGAGAAGTAATGGTACTGAAAACCGTTAGTTAAAGTATCTCTAGATGGTTTGTTTTACATGAAATATGAGAAATATCATAAATACTTGCAAGCTGCGTTGTTTTACATTAAATGTGAGCATGATATGTAAACAGCGAGCGAGTGACTTTTTTGTCAGCAATTATTAAGATTTATTAAGGGGGGGGGGGGGGCACTTCCTATATACAAGGTGATAGGAAGTATCACTGTAATAGGTCACTATTTACAGCTTGAAATTATGTGAATAGGTGTGGAAAATCATCACAAATGTATGATAAGGTCAATAAAGTTCCCATTACTTGTTACATGAAGACCGTACTTTGACCTATAATGGTTTACTTTTATAAATTTTGACTTGGATGGAGAGTTGTCTCATTGGCACTCATACCACATCTTCTTATATCTATATATGAAAAGCCCTGTAATTTTTTCACAGCAGTAGGTCTCCATCTTTTGACACTTTGGTATTCCATTTTTCAAACCCACCTCACGACACCCAACAAATATAGGAAAAAGTTACATTTTTACATACGCAGTATATGAAAAGGTATACATTTATAAAATCTTAATTATATGAAAAAGTAAGAGAACTTCAGCGACACCCCTATCAATGAATTATTTAAGTCCCCCCCCCCCCGCCCCCTCCTCGAGCCGATGGCTGACTATGCAGTAGACGTGAATGAAGTAACCAAATTAGGGGTCAGCATTCAATTAAAGAGCCGCCAATATTTCTACTCTTTATTAAAACTCATGCAATGGTATTGACATCAGACAGTCTTGATTTCTCATGATGAATTGAAGTACATAAAATATGAGCAACATAAGTGTAGGCTAAATACAAAATTTACCGCTTTTATTGAGCGTGCTAATTGATCTTCTTTTTTTTTGTTATGTTGAACATCATGTTATGGTACTAAAAGTTAATGTTTGAA